TGCTGTTCGCTATCAGTTTCTTTACTTGTTATAGGGTCTGTAAGCGAACAGCATGGATCCTGATCAGACTGCGCGGATGCGCAGGCTGGTCTGGATCCATGCTGGTCGCAAACGCATTATGTTGGTTTTGTCGTGACACGGCTCAAATGTTTAAAATTTCAAAATCTGAGATGAATTCTATACCAGATCCTTTAAACTTTATTTGTAACATTTATAATAATGACATTTTACACAATATCATAAAGAACTTAAAAATGCATTGCCGAACTAAATTAAGTTATAAATAACATTGTCCACAGAAATGTTACGAGAAATGACATAGTTTGATAAGTAGACTTTCTTGGTGTATTTACGCAGTCTTTCTTATATAACCTGTTATGCATACACGCAGTTCATCATGTAATATTAAATTAGCGCCATGCGCACAATCAACATTTTATGTCATATAAATATGTCATTTTTGTGTGTGTGTGTGTTATTCGACAGTAAACTGTGCATATTTATCAAGTCTACTGTCATTAAATAATGTATTTATATCTTTATTTCAGTTATTATAAATTCAGTATTTTAGATAAACTGTGTTTGGAAAAAAAGGATAAAAAAAGAAGAACAACAAAAAACTAACAACTGTTAACGTTTTTATACCGTTCTGTCATTCGTTTAGATAACACATCATGTTAAGATACTGTTTTGAAGACGTCAAAATGAGATCCATATCTCGAAATGGTGCGTGTGGACGTCACCGTAAATGTATTGTTTGCGTGATTTTAATGCGATACAGGTACCTATATTCGTGAAGTAAAAAACAACGTTGAATAATTCATTTCGAAAATTCACGAATAAAGTAAATATCACACTTGATCAAAGATAAGTTGTCGAGAAAATTTTCTTAATTACTCGATATCTCAGCTTGATGAAATTTGAATCGTTGCGTTGACAGGTGCCCAAGAATAACAGAGATATTTGATAATATAGTTGCTTTAAATTATCTTACCTCTTATATTAATGAGTATGACACCCCTTTTACTTAGCTGTCTTGTGAATTAAACATCTTTGAAGGTTTCATTTTATGTTCATGATATTTTTTTTTGAAACGGCAAAAACATAGCTTTGGGACTCGACTACTTTGAACATTAGTAATAAAGTAAGATCTGGGATTGGTAAAAGGAATTATTGGTTGTAATCAGTGAAATTATGTTCTGAAGAATACACTATTCGGACAGAAAGCAACTGCTTCGGATAAAACTTGGGAAGAGACTAAATGAGTTTATAATAGATATTTAATAAAATCAGGCGCATAATTGATTGATGCAGTTTTTGAATGTATGGCATCTGTCTGGCCAATATAAACACAGCATTCAGTGTTGAATACAAACACCGATGTTATTTTACATAAATGTTTCCCAAATATCAAATAAGCAGGATTCAAAGCAATAATATATCATACTGGTGCCGGACTCAATCAAATATTTCTGATTGGAGTGTACTTGTTGTAAATTGTTACTACATTCCTATTTATTTTGTCCTACCTTATTTGTGTAGGGAATTCTGTTTATAAATAACTGTCGTTAAATGATATTTATCACAATCACGTGAACACGAATAGTAGCATTATAACAAGTCTAGTTTTCCTGCTTTCACTGAAAGTGGATAAATATATTGAATTCAAACTAGTTCACGCAGTTATATAAACATGCATTATAAATATATCCGTACTTCATTTCCATGTTGTTATATTTTTCTAGACTCTCTGGTTCATTGATTACTGTTCATCATCGCCTACTGCTCCATCTGGTGTTAGAGCATGACAGATGTTGCACCTAAAATTATCTCTCATGAACAGACTCAAACAACCGAGTTTGATAATTTTACCTTTTGAATTTTATTTTCATGGCTCTCGAAGGATCTCATGTTTAGATATTGAAATGTTAAATAAGACTAAAAATACATCCATCATAACGTTCTCGAAATATTCGTCGAATTGGATATTCCAAACAATCAATAACTGAATGACTTCAACACCTCCTTTCTAATTTCCCTGGAGACTATTTAAATTTCCTCCATTTCACTTCCAAGCCAAAAACAATAATTGATGTCTTCATGTTGTTGTTGAGTCTATGCATAAGTTTAAAACTCCTGGGTCACCTTATTTCCTATATGCTAGAGTGATGTCTATAATCTTTATATATTTGATCACTGATATGAGTATCTTTTGTTGCTTCTAAACAAACAGAAACGTTTTCTCTCCAAATACAAAAACAAAAATTCAGTTTTATATACATTTTAGGTTTTTTATATATAAGTAAACGTCTAATACCTTGAATATAATCTGACAGTTACCAATATATATAATAAATGTAAGATAAATAATTGACATATAACGAACATTTTTCTATTGTTTCTTTTACATCTGTATCAAAACAACTAACTTTTAAAGCAGTTTTTTGAATTCTAGTTTCCCTTCATCAACAAGAAGAGTATAGCCCTTGTTGTCACTCTTAATTTAAAAAGATATCTGTTTTCTTTAAGCTTGTATTCAGAGAGATATAAAATTGTCAAGAAATAAGGAACTACATTTGTCAAATTTTAATGGGAATATAATGTGGATTGATGTTCTTGAGAATTTTTGTTTAAACCATAATCCATCTTCCTATACGTTCAAAAAGTTTGTAACGTTATCTTTATTTATGTAAAACAAGAATACAATTATACACACCAAAAAGGACAAATTGTTAAGAACAAAACAAATAAGAAAAGAAAGAAAACGAAAGCGGATTCAAGTTTATTATGATACATGTAGTTACTGACTTTTATCGACATTTGGTTCGAAATCCTTAGGTATAATAAAGTAAACATATATAATGTTTTAGGAAAGTCTATTTAATGACTTAGATCATATGGACAATTCATTCATGAAGGGTTTGTTCATTCCCAAAAATGAAATTATTCCTAATTCACAAAAAGTTTTGAGTATTGGTCTTCCCTAACAAACGTTAATCATTGGCCATATAGCTGAAACATCTTTTGCGTTTAGTAAAGTTATTCAGGTTTTACAAGGAACACATAAAACAATATGTTTACCTAGTGTTACTTTCATGACAAGTTTCATATGGTGAGCATCAAACATACTCTAATTCCATTATTAAAACATTTTTAAGAGAAAAATTTGCATTTTTATTTCTTCAGTGGAAAATGTGTACGCATATCTGAAGCTTATTTAAGTTATTCATATCCTAGGAAATCGAGTGAAAATATTTGTTTTAATTCCTCCTGTCACGATTCCTAAACCTTTTAGAGGTAAAAGTTTACTTATCATTGGTTTTTTAATTATTTGATTAAACTTTATATACAATAGAAAATAGCTTATGTCTATAAATAACAGCTTTGAAACATATTATTAAAGTGACATTATGCTCATTTTTTTCGATGTGAAGTTCAGTTCAGTTAGTAATATATTTCCAAAAGTTTGGCTTTTATAATGGCGATTGACCAATAGTTGATAATGGCAGATTGAACAACTAAATCACAAATATCTAATTTTGTAATTGTTGTCTATGCAATTACACGATATAGTACTAGGTAAATAATTGTTTAGGCTGAAAAACAACTAATTTTGTCTTGTAAAGCATTCATTCTATCTTTGATGAGAGCGTTAAAGACGACCTCGATTTCACAGATTCAGTTTATCAGGGAGTACATGATGCTATCATTTATGTTATTGAAAAAGAGAAATGCCTCTTTATATTAGATTGGATATTCGCGTATTCCCTATTGATCTGGTTTCAAAGTTTGTCGAAAAACTCGCAAGTTGCGATAAAAGTTTTGCGTGTTGAAATGTAATTACGTGCGCCGTATAAAGTGTTAAGATATCAGAGAGGTAGTAACTTTAAATCTCCCTGATAAATACCAGAGACGCATGTTTTCTCTCATACTTTCGAAATTAACACCGTTAAAGGTAATATAAAGTGACGTTTGTTTGTTTTCTATTTGGAGTTTGGTAAGAAAATTCATTTAACATCAATTTTACTCTGAAATTACTGTCTGCGACCTAATCAATAGGGGATTAACGGTATTTCTTCATATGTCTGCATGAAGTCTTATAGTAATGAAAAGCATATTTGATACGGAGTGAGGCGATTTTTCATTGTAATATATCTTCACATGTTGTCTATTAATGATAGTCATGTGCTTGACGTTCACAGTAAACCATTCCCGTGTGTCATTATTTCCGGGGCTATGAATTTCTCGCGGATTGTTGTGTATATTCGGTCCACTGGGGCTGACATCTACCAAGATAATAGTGACATATACAATACTTTCATAATTACATCTGCTAAAATTCTATTTATTGTCGAGAGGCTTGCCATTAGCAATCTCAACGCAAATGATGCAGGGCAACTAACTGGATGAGAAAATATTGCGAAAAGAATTAAACAAATGAGCTTAGAAGACAATCACACTATAATTTGATGTGAGATAATCGGAGATTTTTTTCTGGGAGATGAAATAGATTTTGGTATAGTGATTGACATTATTAATGCTAAGTCAGTTCCGGAAGTGATATTTATAGAGTACTTGAGATAAAGTGAAACAGTTCAGCGTGATATTGATTTCACTGAATGTGTTGCTCTAAGTTTCCTCATACCATTTCATATTCGCTATATAATGCTTTTCAAACCAAATCTCTTAAACTTATCAACTTTGTTAATTTAGTGACATTAAAGTCAGAATATTTTCGCTGTCGAATTGAGATAAATTGGTGATTGTACATAATCAATATTGACAATCAGTTAGAATAAAGTATAAAAACCGCTTAAAATAAAAAAAAGGTTCTCCGCCTTTTCATGAAAGAAAAATCTGGAAGATACTTACAGGAATTTATGTAGGTCATATAGACTGTTAATTATTACTATGGTAGATAGTTTATTAAAATTTAAATCAATAATGGTTGCACACATTTGCGTATTTGATTTTATTACTGTAAGCTTTTCACTTTTCAGGGTTTGAACAAGATTGTCCCATCGACTGGAGTATGTATGAATCGGTATCAAAAGAAAAGGCACTAATCAAATGCCTATTAGAGAGATACAGTAATTACACCACAGTCGGTCGACCGGTAACCAACACCTCGGATTTGATAACCGTCGAGTTCGGTCTTAGTCTTGTTCAAATTATGGACGTGGATGAGAAAAATCAGGTTCTCGAGACAAATGTCTGGTATACGTATGTAAGTATTATTAACTTACAAATAGCAATGATAATAAGGGTGCGTGGTATATAAAGATCCACTAAAGAAAATAGACAATTATTTTTGCCTTCGCAAGGAATAATTAATCCATAGTTTTTATTTCATTATCAATGAACAGTGTCTATTAGATATTTGAAATCACGATTAGGAAAAAAAGAAACAACAATATATTTCACTTAACATAAATATATAAATTATGTCCAATGAAACACGCTAAAGAAATATTCATTGCGAAACTTGCACTTTCCAGTACCGACCATGAACAGGCTCAATCAAACCGAGCCTGCAACATTTTACAATTTTGCTGTGTTGAGCTTTCTTTAGGGATGCTATATTTCTCTATTGCATACGTTGGTTCTAAGCTAATACATTAACATTTACAATGAAAATAAATGGCAGATGGATTTTACTTGTCACAAGACAACTTAATTCTAAACAAAGCTGTTTAAGAAGTATCGTATAAAACTTTGATGAAATATAATGATACCCTTGACAATTTCAAAATCTCATACTTAGCCTGTCTGATCATTTGATAAATGAACATGAGTACGAAGCAGTTCACACCCTCGAAGAGAAAGAAACAATTCTGTCACGTTAATTAAATTTAAGGCGAGGTTTGGATACATATTTACATAATTTTAGGATAATTATTTATCTGAAAAGTAAGATACCTTCCAGACAAAGAAAATCAGGTTTTGACAGGTTGAGCAGTTCAATAAGCAGTCAGCGTTCCAAACTGAGAGACAATTTCCGTCCTAATACAGCTACTGAAGGCATGTCCGATACACATGATGCTCCAGTAACTTTTTTCTTTGCCAAATTTGCCAAGATTCTTAGCGTTAAGGATAATGAAGTCAGTCTGTAATATGAAAATATTGCCAGATACTTTCCATGAGATACAGTATTTGATGGATAGCTTCTTCAACATGTATTTCGCTTTTGTCCTTTAAGTCTATTTATATTGATCATGCTTGTTAAGTGAAAGAAATACAGCGCAACAATTATATAAAGACATATGAAAAACAATTTAAGTGTTCAATAAACTAGAACGCAGGCTAATATGAAATCACTTTTACCCTTATAGTTCATATACATGTATTAAACATTTATTTATTTATTTATTTATTTATTTATTTATTTATTTATTTATTTATTTATTTAAGAGATATAGTATTATTTTGGAAATGTGATATTGTACTCTGTCTAAAATATATACATTATTTTATAGATAAGTTGATCTATGTACATATGTAAGCTATTTTATCTCACACTGCATTACGCATTATATCATATGTTTTTCAAAAACATTCGTCACGTTAAATTTTTAATGTTAATGTTGTTTGATTGTGCAAATAATTCATTACTCTCTGCAACAAAACGGTTATTACAAATGCAGATTTTATTATTACACTATACATTCCAGTATGTTTGTAGAAACACGATGTCTTAATTAATCATTCGATCCTGGAATATCTGTTCAGGGAATGGAAATACTTAAATCAAAAATAAAAATAACGGTCTTTTATTTCTTCAAAAATAATTCCTTAGTCGTCACTTTCTATTAAGAAAGCACAAACTAACTAGTAATAAAACCAAAGATACTCAGTTTTTAGGGAAAAAGAAATCGCTGTGTTGTATAAATAGAAAAAAATGGACTGTCCTTATGAATGATTGATGGATAATTAAAATCTTCTTAATTGTTGATCCTCTCTTCTATCTTCTCTTGTAACATATTTTCCTTTTTGATTTAATGGCTTATACTTTTGGCAGAATTCAATTATATACAATTGTCAAAACAAATTTAATACGGGCTTTATCTTACAATGACAATGGTGGTGTGGAAATCAAATTACTGCGGATGGTCGGAAAGAGGCTTTCCAGCTTATACCAGATCCATTATATAAATAATTCAGTGAAGCAAGAGTTTTAATGGCTCCAGGCTACTACTTTCTTAATGTCCCAAGGGACTTTGAATAAATGATATGGGAAATGTTTCAAAAACATTTTAGAAAATGTAAAACGTTTCCCAATGAGATCATATTTTTATTGAGTATTTTTCTAAAATGTTTTAACAATATTTACGTAATTGATGTTTTTTTTTAAAAAACAGCAATCATATTTTTGTTCCAGCTATAAGTTCTACACTAAGAAACAAAACGATCTTGAATAAAATTTGATCGGAAATGACGTGATAAATTGTACTAAAAAGGGAGTTCATTTCCCGTAATTTGATAAAAAAATATCTTAAAACGTTTACTAGACTATATGCGACAAACTTTAAAATTTAGATGAAAATAATCAAGACAATAATACTTACAGCCTGCCATCTAGGAGTCGGTCTCAGCCACTGATTGAAATTTGTGTTGGCAGCGAATTTCTTTATTTACAGATACTTCTGTAATAGAATGAATTACCGTTCAGACTAAATTATATCTTTTCCTAGCCTTGTCATTTCGGTGCAATCAATTAAAGCATACTGAACTGTATGTTATGCTTCTTCCATCACTTTGAACTGTATATGCAATAATTATTACGTATGAAATGCAAACGTTTGCGTGAGCATGGCGGTTAAATCATTTAAGCAAACGTTCTTTAATTGGTGCTACAATTTTGATAAAATGTAAAATGTACGGATGTAAAACAACGGAAATCATGTCAAATGTTTAAGCTTAACTATTTAAGATTAACTGAAAACAATTTAGCAATCTGATAGAAGTTTGATTTTTTGATAACTTTATTTTCTTTTCATTTTCGAAGAAAAAAAATTCTTTTAGAACGGTCCCAATTATATCTCGATGATACGATATGCTAAGAATATTGACATTTAATTGCTTGTATGACATTGACGTTCTCGAGGGTATTACCAATGATACACATTTGCGTGATAACCCTAATAACAACAAGTTAATGAACAACAAAGTGCAAACATTGTAGCCCAACATTATATTGTTATTTTTTTTCTAATAAATAAACAAAATGTTTTAACATGGTAACATAAACCGTTTGTTTTAAGATAGTGATAGTGAATTAAAAAGTATGTCGGTTTGTATAAATTTACATATTCTGCAGCGGAAAATAACATTACCTCGTCGCAGCGTATTATAAAAAAATAGTTAATTAAGTTCATGTGTCATTGCACGTGATCTATGATGTTTACACCAAAATGTAAACGTTAAAAAGCAAAATACAAATCAGCCAAATTATAAAGTTTTAAGTACCTTCAGATGTTGAAGGTTTGATAGCTGATATATTTGTTTCTTTATTTGATCTACTGTACGTTGTATAAAATATCTTAGAATAACGTGACATTACTAAACAGATGTCAGTAAACAGTTATTACATTTATATCGTACATTACTTTTCTACTCTTGTAACTCTTGCATGACGTAGAAGGAGAATATCAAGTTCTCTTTCAAATTTGATAACATTCCGGGGACCGACATGAATAAAATTTATTTACATGTACTTCTAACACACAACAGGATAAAAAAGCTAGGGATATTTACCATCCTATGTCAACAACAAATGTTACCAAAAATTGCATGTTTATTGTTATGGTGCTGAAAAATGCTGAACACAATATCTAATTTTGAAAGGTAAAAGGTTGTGACAATTGGCTCATTTTCTGTAGAATTATAATCAATTCTATATGTGTTGAAATATTCTTAATGCTTCATTGATATTATAAAGATACGTAATATTGTTCCATATATTAATCAACTTAATGTTGTATAATCTAATATTGTTATTTATTATCGGTACTTATTAAGAGATACAAATTGATTTGATTTATAAAATGGTGATTAATAACAACAAGTTTTTATTCTATTATAGTTCTATAACAAACGAAACTGTTTTGTATATAAATTTTAAAGCTCTAACGATGCTTAATTACTAGTGCATATATGAGCATAAATAAATTTGCTTCATAATTTCATCATAATGTTTTACATAGAGAACATAGTTTTAAAAAATATATTATGACTTAGATAAATCAGTTTAAAAAAAAAAGAAATAGATTAAAACACATTCAAATTAGCGTGTTAACATCAACGTTGTCATACAGCCAGCGCATCGTGTTCACGCATCCAAATACTAATGACTCGTCTAGAGATCTCAATGATCAATGTTGGACAGCGTGGTATGACCAAAGCAGTTTCTCTCAGGTCTGTGTTAAGTATATTTTGTTAATTTTGGAACAGCAATTGATCCTATTCAGACTGCGCGGATGCGCATGCTGGTCTGGATCCATGCTGGTCGCAAACGCACCATGTTGGTTTTGTCGTGCCGCAGCTCAAATACTGTATATGGCATTACTGGAATCTTTATACGCGAATCAGTAAGCAATGATGTATTTCCTAAAACTTTAATGACTATAAAATAATTCTTTTAGAATGACACAATAAATGTGCTTCGCAACTTGTCATTGTATGATAAGAAAATAGAAAAAAAACGTCTTGAAAGTTAATGAGACTTATGATATGTACAGGCTTTAAGTTAATACCAATGGATAGCTAAAATATCTAAGATCGAGCTCTAAATTGGCAAAAATGTGATAATCTGTCTAGTTCTATAAGTTAGTTTTTGTAATGAATTTATTTAATGTTATCGGTATGGTTTAAATTAAATTTATTTAGAAGGGTTTGAAAAAACATAGGTAAATTAATGATGAGCACCATTTTCAAAACCTTATCAAGTGACAAAGTGCATGTGCGTGGAACAAACTGCTGGTGGAATGATTGCTTTTCAAGTTGTTTTTTTAAAGCGTAGGTCAATCAAAAATGTTTGAAAAAAAAGAAACAAACAAAAAGAACCGACTAGATGCAGCTTTTAAAGTAAGGTGGTAAATATTTCCACATGACAATGAATCCAGTGTCAAGAAATATAAAGCATTTATGACCTAATTCTAGCGCTTTGGAGAGAAACGTCCGGGCTTGGCCATTACAAGTGACATATTGACGTTCCCCGACATTTTTAAATGTCCGTGTGAGACTTATTGATATCGTAAATACACTCAACCCACGTGTGCTCAGTAACGAGCGTTCATAAAAAACATCTCTATATATTAGTTATATGCTTCACGTGGGTATAATGATGTAGAACTTTATTTGTATTGTAATACAATGTATATCCGACGTTTCTAAACATTGGCGTTTGAAAATGAAAACGAACAATAATTATAAAACCAATTTATTTTCAATTTGCTTTTTTCAATATACACTTCTGTATTTTTTTACTTTCTGAATTTATTTACTAACGAACAACTGTCTCATAAATACAAAGCCAATGTTAAAGAGATACCTGCTTACGATATTGTAAGTATAGTGTCCATTAGGCATCCCTTTTGTACAAAGCGTAACAAAGCTTCTTATGGCCAGTGTCTAATAGCTAGCGTAATTGAAAGATCAAAATAATTCAATAAAAAATATAAACAATAAACTAAATAAAGTTTAAGCACAGGGCAGGTTTCACTTTTCTGTAAAAGTCATTCAAATAAATATGCCCATTTACGGCGTCGTTAAGCATAGAGTTATAACGGCTCAATTGAAAATGTATGATTGAGATGTATAATTGACGATGTTTATATAAAAGTTATTGAAAAGTTTACATATCATAATCATATTTTTGACAGAAATAGAAAATATATCAAGTTTACCGTCTTGTTTCATTATTTTGACGATTTAAGTGTACCTTTTTTATTAGTTACATATAACAACAACAATAATAATTATCTGGAAAAAAGTGATCCCTCGGAGGCATTAAAAACAACAATTTACATGAAAATTGCAGACCCGGTTTGATTGAGTCTGTACCGGCTCTAGCAGTACTCAATTCTCAACGCTTTAAAGTACTGGACTCACATGTTTTTTTCCAACATATATGTTTCCTCAATATGTATGTTTTCGTCTGTTAAAATCAGTATTACTTGTCTCATTTTTATCTCACTTTAGAAGTGGTAAGAAACACTGATAGTTTTTAAAATGAAAAGAAACAAACCTAAAGAAAATCTGTCTAAGAAAAAAGGGTTAAATGAAACAGGTACGTGTCAGATTTGATAAAAAAGAAAGAAGATGTGTTCAGAAAAAAAACCCGATCATTTTTGTCATCTGTCAACGGGCATCTTTATATCTTCATATAATGATTATCTAGATACAATTCCGAACATTTGTGAAAAACATACGAGAAAAAAAGTTTTATCATCCTGATTTAGAAATATAAGTCATACATATTCACTCATTTGAAACAAAAATATACACATAAATTTGCAAATATTTCCTAATTCAAGAATTTTCCATAAATAGATAAAAAGAAAAGGAAACCTAAGCATGACCGGGCAAAAATAGATAAATAAAAAGGAACAAAACAAGTTGTTTCCAGGGGGGTTTGAACCCACACCCCTGGCAAATTCTGTATCCTCACTGTTAACGAACATTTTTTAGCAATTAGCTGCTAAGTTGCGGAAGGCAATATATTTGTTTGGCCTTGTTGCTGTGTCAATCCTTGGACTGCTATTTATTTTATTTTATTTTTGGATGCTTTTAACACTCTTTGCCAGAATCGTAATGAAAATAAAAGAAGGGTTTTTTATAATACCGATTTCTTTTATTTCCAACTCAAGTTTATTTGACGCGACTTTTATTGCGTTTATCTATCAGAAATAAAAATAAGTTCTTAAAAATTTAGCAATGCTTATTTAAATGCTTTTGACACCAATAAAATCATGTTACAGAAAGGTGTTAGTTGAAATATTGAGCTATTTTGTATTCTTTACATTGAGATATGTATTTTAAGTCACGCAAATACCTTTCAAAATATAAAATTCAATCGTCTACAGTTCGCAAATAGCATGCAAAATAATATCTGTATCTCACGTTATATACTTTCATCAAATAGTATGCCATTGTGATTCGGTTATAGACATATTCCAACGTCGCCAATCAGATTGAACCATGCTCCATTGTCTTGTGATTAACGTGCTAACTTTCAGATATGTCATCTTCTATTATTAATTCTAGAAAATTGCCAATATATTTTCTTAGACAGCATATCACAATATTTATATGTTGCAGTCTCTCTGGTAAATATACGTATTGTATTTAAGATGTCTGATTACATTCTTGTGTCATATCCAAAATAAAACTTTTGAATCATATAAGTATCTATCTATGTCAAGATGTATATTTGCGCATTTGAAGTTTTCATGTTAAAATCAATTCAAAAAGTATCCGAAAGATTGTGGGCTTTTCAACTTTAAAATCAATTAACACATGCTCTTTTTTTTACAGCAATGGAAAGATGCGTTACTCAAATGGGATCCTGATAAATTTGATGGTTTAAAGAAAATAATGGTTCCACCTGACAAGGTTTGGATACCTGATATTGTCCTTTACAATTTGTAAGTACTTTTATATCTTTTTCATCATCTTTAAATAATAAATACGAAAAATTATTCATTAAAAAATATTATAAACGAAATGCATCAAGTTGTTGATACATATAAATTGCCCAGTAAGTCAAAAGAAATTATGCTTAGCGAACCTCTGGTGAATCCTGCCTTTCGCTCAGACGAATTAGACAAAATCTATATGAATAAATACCAAAAGTATATATTGTATTTATCACGTGACTGAAATAGACGTTATCTATGATGGATTTTTTTCTAATTAAATACTCATTCATTAGTTCAAACAAAAAGAACATTATTTTTTACACTTACAACTACTGTTATGCGGCTTCTACAATAAATATGTGTAAAATGTGTAGAAATAAGAAATATGGATATTTGTAATTGGCAAATAAAACATGTGATTTAAAGGTCATTGTTTAAACTAAAAATAAACAAATCATTAAAAAATTAGTTCAACGATTGAAATAATGAGCTTTACATGAGCGATATTGTAATTGCTTTGAATAATTTTATACAGTATTTATGAACACATTTTGGCACTAATTTTGTAATTTATGAAAAACGTTTTATTAAAAATAATATTAATGTATGTGTCTACTAATCAATTGTTTATAAGTTTGTGTCGTTCAATGTATGTTGTACAAAATGTGACACCGAGCTGTTTTCTGCTCACCCTTGCCCTATTTAGCGCTGATTCCCGACTGAAAGAGCAGCGGAGTGCCCTTGTTAACGTGTTTGACGATGGCTCAATTCTCTGGATGCCTCAAGCTATTCTCCGAAGTACCTGTGCATTCGACACTAAATACTTCCCGTTTGATGAGAATGAATGTCATCTTAAATTCGGCTCTTGGACTCACGACGGTAACCAGATGGATCTTCAGTTCTTTGATAATAAGTCCAAATTTCTTGTCGATGATTTTATCCCTGGAAATGAATGGGATTTGGTGGGTAACCGCGGACAGAGATTTGTAGAACGTTACGAGTGTTGCAAGGACACGCCTTACCTAGATCTGAAGTTCTATATTTTGCTGAGAAGAAAGACGGCGTTTTACAGCTTTATCTTGCTCCTACCATGCACCTTGCTTTCTTGTCTTACACTGGTCATCTTCTGGGTGCCCCCGGAGTCGCCCGCAAAACTTATGCTTGGTGAGAATAATGCACATTTATAAACAATCAATTTAAAACTCACATTATCTGTAGAAGTGTGATAGAAGTTGCACAGTTTCGATTAAGCATGATGTTTTCTTGAAAATGTCATGCTAGTTTTTGTCGTCCACACTCTTTTTAAGTTATTATGTTACTACTCAAAAATAAATGTCTTGGCATGAGGCACAATATGTATTCTCACAATCTTTGAGCGCACGCCATATTTTACAATTAGTCTATGTGTAAGTCATTTCTCATACTTTAGTCAACAGATACCTCTGTTAAAAAGTGTCATTTCAACTCATTTTACTTCAAAATATACATGAAAGACATGAAAACCTTTACATCAATATTTTTAAAAATCATTTAAATCAATATAAAGAATTGATCCATGAAATTAAAAACAATATTTATATACAGTTTTTACACATAATACGGACATAATATAAACTGTTTAGAAAAATCATTTTAAAAGCGATTACAGTATAGTATTTATTTTATTATAAAAATAGACATAACTGGACGCTGCTAATGAATCTATTTGTGTCATTAGAAATGGCGTGTGTGCTGACGGAATGTACTTAAAAAGTAGCACATGCTTTGTTTAGACAATAAGTTAATATTTGACAAACTGGAAGCCCTTACTACTTGACAATGAATAATACATATTAAATAGAAAATGGAATCTTAAAAAACAATACAAGCTCATATACATATATATCCTGTCTACGAATTAAAAAGTTGGGGGTAGAATGTAAATGATAATACTACTAATAATAATAATAGAAACAACTACACATTGCTAGCAATCCTACTTAGCTAGATTCTACTTTGTCTTTCATATGTTCTCTTGTCAAACATTTTATCATTTGAAATTGAGTAGATGGTCAAGTCTTATAATTTGTTAATCTAATGGTGACATTTGGTATCATATATTACATTCGGTATTTCTAATGCTGATTAAGATATTTTACCTTTATATCTTATAACACAAAAAGGAAATATAATGTCTTGGCCATATTATATTCAACATATTCCATGACGAATTTAAAAAGAATGTCCCAAGATTCAATTAACAAATATTAACTGTCCAGGTGAAGAACTGTAATCAAAGTTATAGATCAAATAAAGTTTTGGTGTCAAATGTCAGGTACATCGAAGAAGAGCTACGGCCATTACCTTCTTTGTAAGGGTGAATTTGAAACTGCCGGAAAATTACATTCTACGTTACTAGTATTGTGACTGCCTGCATGACATATCTTCACTATCGCTATGCTGACATGCTTTATTCTTATAGCGCTGACTCCCGTCTTACTGAACAGAGGCCGGCACTAGTCAATGTGTTTGATGATGGCACAATTTTGTGGATGCCACAAGCAATTCTAAGAAGTACCTGCGCGTTCAACACCACTTACTTTCCTTTCGATGAAACGGAGTGTCATTTAAAATTTGGCTCATGGACCCATGATGGCACAAAAATGGATCTTCAATTTTTTGGCAAACAGGAGAAGTTTATGGTAGAAGACTTCATCAGGGGGAATGAATGGGAATTATACGGAAATCATGGACGTAGAGATGTGGAATTCTATGAATGTTGCGAAGGCATTCCTTACTTAGACTTAAAGTTTTTCATACGTTTGAAACGCAGGACAGCTTTCTATAGTTTTATTTTACTACTGCCTTGTGCTTTGTTATCATGCTTGACGTTGACAATATTCTGGGTTCCTCCAGAATCACCTGCTAAACTACAATTAGGTAAGTTTTCAGTTTGCATCACACATAAAAAACGTTAAATACAGGTGCTTGATAGTTTTTGATACTGCTCCGCTCTTCTGGTTTTGTCAGCTTTTGTTACACTTTCAATGAGCTTTCTACAATCCTTTAGAGAACACCTCTTTCGTTTTATTTTCCTTGCACGAATCCCAGTTTTAAGTACGGTTGTAAACACCTCTTTTTCATGTATAGTGTGTTCGTTTTTAATGTTCATGGCTTTTTGAATCTTTTAAGATTTCCCTAGTATGCCTTCATTTGTTAAGCTTATGGTTATTTATTATTCATTTTCATCACTTAAAGGAGGTCTTTTACCTTTTAATTTGCTTTACAAGACAATGTATCTAGCTTTGTAAAGGAACGATTAGAAACAAAAATATGTGTCACATAAAAACATTGGAAAAAAAACAACATACAACACTTACGTAGGATAACAGATAACCCGAAGCAAGTATTATGACAATGGACACACAACCGCGATTCAATGCACAGGGATGGACTTTCCGCAGTATGAAATCACCGTTAAACGTAGAATGCAACAGCGCTTTCGTCTCAGATCTGTGTTTATTGTTTGTCACGTGTCTACACGTTTATTCACGTTTTGTCATTTCTTGTCGATATATAAGATATCATTTCAACAGCCACATATCAGATTAATAAGCAACTTTCAAGACAGAATCGTTTGTAACAGAACGTTTCCTTTGTTTACCTTCTTTAGATAGCCAACATATATTTGCATGTCACTTAGCGTAGATTTAAAATAATAAACGAATGGAAAAGTAGTCATTTTATTGTTTATACTTTGTTTTAATATTTCTGTCTTGAATGTTGCTTATTTTAGAATTTACGTATGTTAGCAAGAGCGGACGTGATTTCCATGCTCTTTCTTAATAGTTTTATTCTGCCTGCTATTTAGCGCAGATGATAGATTACTGGAACAGCGGCCGGCCCTCGTAAACGTAGAATACACAGGGGACATACTATGGATTCCTCAAGCTATCCTTCGCAGTTCTTGTGCATTTGAGACAAAGTTTTTTCCGTTTGATACCCAATCATGCTACCTACAATTTGGTTCTTGGACACATGATGGTACCTACTTAGACTTACAGTTCTTCCAAAATATATCACGGTTTATGGTAGAAGATTATATCAAAAGCAACGAATGGGATATTCTGGACAACAGAGGCGAAAGAAACGTTAAATTATACGAATGTTGTAAAGATGTGCCTTACCTTGATTTAAAATTTCATCTTACTGTGAGACGAAGAGTGGCCTTCTATACATTTATCTTAATTATGCCTTGTGCACTTTTGACGTGTTTAACTCTTGTGATATTCTGGGTTCCACCCGAAGCTCCTGCCAAATTAAGTCTAGGTAAGTACTCATCAGCTCATTAAAATATCAACATATAAATGTCAGCGTGCAAAAGCTGCCTGTTTACGTAATTATATCGACTCAAGTATGCAATGACATGCTGTGGTACTCCACATTAGACATAAGATGATGTAACATTAAGATCATTCATATCATTCAATCCAGTTTCATTCATTGTTTTGCTTGCCTTTTCAGTTAAATATTCGTTTAACACAGTAGTGATAGTTATGAAACATTTCAATCATTTTGTTTATAAAACCCGACGTTTGCCTAGTTATTTTAAGAATGATTTCACATATGCATCATGTGTAAACACGGTATATTTTTGCATTGACACAATTTTATCTATGAATGATATAGTTGTGATAATAATGAAATTGTAATAGTTCAAATAATTTGAATTTCTTAAAAAAATGCATCAGGGTAAATGAACTGCAGCTTGTTTTGTGTTACCTAACCATAAAAATGATAGAACATGTTGTGTAGGAAGTATTTTCAACAAAGATTTTCATGTCTTTCTGGCAAGCAGCTAAGACAATATATTTAAATATATAAAATCAATGTATTTCATATAGCCGTAGATACATTAGATAAATCATATTTGTATAAAGGAATTTAAACGATGCATGTACATTATTCAGGCATGTAGGGAACACTTAAATGTTTTTATTTAAAACTACAACTTCGTTTTAATTTGAGACAAAAAAGAGGGAAAAACAGTGAAAAAATACTCATAGGATACAGCTTTTCTACATTATTGCAATAATTTTGCTATTAAATTGAAAGAAAATTACAAAATATACATCGAGATATTTAATATTCAAGTTTAACATCTGTAAAAAGTCTCAAAATAAAAAAAGTTATATGATAAATACCTTGACTAAAATATCTTCAAAATTATTGAATATAAAACTAAGGATAGTTAAATCTTCAAAAGAAATAAGTTTATGTTTGAAACAATTGTGTGATTTCAGGGATGAATATATTTGTTGCATTTTTTGTCTTGCTGCTGTTATTGTCCGAATCAACACCGAAAGCTGCAGAGTCTATCCCTCTTATTGGTAAGTTGGTTTTTTTATAGACTATGATTGAATGAACTGCAATGTTCATGCAATATTATTTACGAAATATTCAGTGATGTGGAATTTGCTTTCCTTGCATTTTATTTAGTTTTAAAATGATTCAAAAACAGGGAATTTTTATCGAAAAGTGAGAATTTATTACATTTGTTGATCTTTTTCTTTCTTTCTTTCTTTCTTTCTTTCTTTCTTTCTTTCTTTCTTGTTCTATGTAAAGGTTTTTCCCTGCCTCTGAGATAAAAGGGATGAATGAGTGAAACCCCCATCCCCCTCCTAGAATAGACACTGAATTCTAACATCAGTTGACACTACCAAATGGCACATAATAAATGGAATATAAACAAGGAAAATCTATCGAAATATCTTATTCTATGAAACTCTAGTATTTAACGTATGACTATGTGTATTATTCTTTGTTTTTTGCTTTGTTTGAATACAATAATAATCATCAATAACGTGACAAAATCAAAGCCAGGAATTAAAAATTTTGTTTCATATTCAAAAACAATCATAATGACAAACGTGCTCGAACCAATGTGCTGTTAACTTTTGCTATGTGACAGGTAAAAAACACATTCTAAATTTCAATTATGTGATTCCAATATTATAATGCAAGCGTTTAAAAGATAGTGCAATATTTCCCCCCAATACAAATCTATTTAAATACAAAAAAAACTTAAATCAAATGAGAGGCCCATTCATTTAACTTATTCGGAACATGATTTATGTTAATTATCCTTATGATACCAAGTGAGATATCAGTGACTGCAATTGTAAGTTTGATTCATGTAACTTTTGTCGGGTCTTTATATTTACCTGTCATATACCTTAGCTCTTGTCACAAAATTACTAATTTTAAGGGTGTGGTGAATTTGTATTTATAGATGCTGACTGTAAACAACTAGAAAAGTGGCCTGTACATAATGAATATCAAAAGTAAACTACAAATAAGCGTTGAGTTTTTTTGTACACGTACAGTGTAGTTTCAATCTGTATTTTCTTAAATTAGTTTGTGTTAAATGAGTGACCCTGTGGCAGAGCATTTGATCTGAGGAAGTCTGAACCTGTGTTCTGCACATCGTTTAATTATTATTTTTATTCTTCTCTCAATAACTATAATTTCCTGAATTTTTTCAAAAGGAAACAGAGAGGGCACAAATTTTGAAAATTATTCATAATGACTAAGCGCGACATTGACCAAAGGACGCTAAAGTCAATGCTGTGAATATTTGCTAACAGACAAAAGGACAGACGACAGGTGTAAAACTTTATATCACTATATGCTGCACTTTAAGCACCAACCTTATCCTCTGATGCACCCTTCGTCTACCCAAGTTATATCCGAAACATCCCTCACAATTAAATGTAAAGAAATTTAACATTTTAACCATTCAACAATAAGTTTAATTTAGGATTGAGTGTTTTTTTCTTTTCTATTAGGCCATATTTTGTAATATGACGTAACCCGTCGCAAAATATCCGAAACAATGATATCATGCAAATGGCTAGTTCCAACGTTAATTTCTTTGTGTCAAAATATTTGTCTAATTTTGATATAATTGATATACGAGTATTTTTAGCATTATATGCTTAAGATAAGTTGCTGATACTGCACACAACAACATTATAATCATATACTTTCCTAACATTGTCTTTTTTAAATTTTATAAGATAACAATATGGAACTTTCTAAGTCTAATTTACCTGTTGGCCATAAGTACATTCATGAAAATCTAAATGATGCACAAAATCTATGTTATCAATACCATCAAAACACCACTAGAATCCGTGATGCTATATTTGTCCATATGTATATTTGTTATTCTTATGGTGACAAAGGTTAGCAATCTGCCATGTATATACACCCCCATAATGTAATTATGAATAAAGATAATGAAATAATAGTTCCAAAATGTTTACAAATAGTTAGGAAATTAATAAGATTTTCAAACAAGTAGTAACATGTGCCAGTGGCAAAGTTTCACTTCATTATAAACATACATAAGGCATTGATCCAAAATATGACAGAAAATACGATAACTCAGACCGATATGAGAGACGTTTGGGGCGAACTATACTCTTGAGATATGAAAATGTTCCAAAAACACATATGAAACAATAAAATGTGTGTGTGCTGACATTCGCTTTAGAGGCTCTCTAGGATGCCACAGTGTGAGTATTCACAGGTGCGCAATTACGTACCATCCGTCATGAATACTTAATGAGAGTAACATGACTTTATATTCCATTGCAAAGACTTACTGCGTATAGTCAGAAAATTGACCGTGCTATTATTCTCTTCAATTACAATTCGGCGTCTACATTCTCACGTTATATAAATATTTAATTCACGTTTGATTACTGCACAAGGACATGCTACAGTCTGATGAGATTTATATCTGACAGGGTAGATGGTATTGAAAGTAGAACATAAACAACCTTTGTCTATTCAAAATACAAACATTAATCAAATTGAAACGAAACATGAAAATGGTCGACTACAAAAAGAGAATGAAAACTACAGTTAACGATGCTTGATTGAAAATATTCGGGATGAAAATCAAAGAATGCATAGCATTTTTTATATTCTTTAACGTTTATTTTAAAACGAAATCACGAAATTAATTTCCGCAAAAAGATGAATAACAAATTTGATGACACTGATAAACATATCAATCAAAATGTTATTGTAAGAGAATAATTATTATTGATATTTTAGTTGTAAAGATTCATTGTTATTCTAATTATAATTATTATTATAATTATCATTATTACATTCATAATTTTATTATTATATGTAAACTTTTAGTTTCTCTAAAAAGCAGAAGCATTGCCCTGCTCTCAAAAAATCGCAATTTGTCAGGCATTATTTTCCTCTTTTCAGAGAAGATTGTGTATTTAAACAAAACCATTTGATAATATAGTGTAATCATAAATAGGTTGTGTAAATGTAGCGAAATTATATGGCATTTGTAAGCTTTGAAGAGAAGTTCTTCGATAGTTCCTGTTTATTGACTGTGTTCTCAAACTTACATCAAACTATCAGTTTTATCATTATCCTGTTATGTTTTTTAAATGAATTTGTCGTGTTTTGAATTTGGAATAGTCCATTCAATGTTTAAGGGATTAAAAAAAAATATCAACAAAACACCATCAGTATACAGCCAAACAAGATATAACAAGTGCAGGCTGGCTTGGCTCTATACTGATGGCAAATCTAATCATTCTCCCTTATAGCAGGTTAATGATTTAACATTTTAAACATTTTTTTTTAATCTTTTATTTGTTAAAAAAAACAAAGCACAATTCGTTGTTCTTTATTGTTCTTTAAGTTTGATTTTTTTAACATGAACACTCAAAATGCATTAAAACAATGACAAATCATGCCCACATTAAATAATTTAGCATTGTTATCTTCTTATTATAACAAATTATTTTTTTTCAAATTTATTCAGTATTAAGCATATTTTTTAAGATAATGTAAATTGTGATCTTCAAGTAAGCAAGTTTAGACTGACACTGGTCTGTAATTTACATTTATTACGATTAAGTATACTATTGTCTTCAATGACTTCTCATTTCATTAAAACATAATTTGATTTAAAGGTTGTCAAAACCATCTATCAAACGGTACCGTCTCTCAGTCAAAAATGATTTTTAAAAAAATGTTTTTCGCATCAAATTATTGCTGCGCTAAAACTCTAAAACATTGAAGATATATTATGGTAACAATATCTAAAGCCCGCTTCATGTATTTAAACAGCAGACGAATGATCAATGATGGTATATTTTTATACCAGCATAACTTCTGAAAGACAATGTCAGAGTAATTCCATCGTTTAATGCAACTACGTGTAAATACAAAATAACATAAACATTCTTTATTGAACGAAACAAACTGCTTATAAAGGTGGTGAGCGTTTTCATAAATCAGTCAGAAAGACAAGACAATAAATAATACTTTTAAATAAATTCAATCTGATCTTTTATTTCATTTTAAGTGTTTCAATTCCACTGCACGTTATATGGCGTTAATTTATGTTTCAATTTTGAGCTCCAGAGAAATCTTTTCCATCTAAGATCTTATAGAGTCAAATGTTTACATCAATTTAATAATGTGTTATATTAACAATAAATTGCATGTTCTTGATATTGAGTTTCAGAAACGATGAAAAAATAATTAAAAAGAAACAAATATTTGTCAGAACCATTTTCTTCCGGAAACATTCATCTTTTTCTTTGACACATTAATATATCTTTTGGGACAAGAAGATGGTCGACATTTTTGTTACATTGTCCCGATTTTCGGAGTACGTCACCAGTTAGACTTGATACATTTATCAGACGAAAAGAAAAAGTGCTAAATGTTCCCAAGATGAAAAAACTGCCTCAGTCATGATACGGGATAATTGACACTTTTTTAAACGTCTCCTGAAATAAAAGAAAATATTTCCCGTATCAAAAGAACAGACATATTGACATAAATAACAGACAGAAAAAAACAAGTATGTATATGCTTGTAATCCCTATAGCAAACGAGTTCACACATAAAGCAAAGGAAAATATTTCGAGGCTATATTTAACCTAGGACTATTCTTACAGTAAAAGATGTACATTTGAAATAAAAAAACACAAAAAATGCGATGAATATGTGTTGGAATGTTTTTATTCGAAGAAGGAGAAACTGAATTAAGTTTAAATATCTAACAAAATGTTTCCACATGAGAAATTTTTCTATTTATGCTTTCTTCTACATCGTTCTACATTTTTTCTCAGTTCTCAGTTGTTTTAAAAAACGAAGCATAGAAAAAAAAAGCATAAATCTGCAGAACTGTTAAGATTTTCCTACCATTGATAGTGAACACATATTTCAGATTTGAAGTGAATGTCTTAAAAGTTATAAAGAAAATGACAAATGTTCTGTATCAAACAAAGAATTATTCTGCAAACATGGCCACCAAGATTATCTGCCCCTTAGAAATGCATAAGAAAGTTGGAAGTAAACAAGAACTTCAACTGTCAAGTGAAAATATTCGATAGTTTATAGAAATGAATCTTAAGGAGTATACCCCTGATGCATTACCTCCGCTTTGAGACTATAATTACTGTCAACAGCATTGAAACTGAGGGGAGTGGGTTAAAACCCTAGAAGGGGCAATTTTTTTTTCTTTCTTTTATTCTTTTCAACATAATTTATGTTTATCTCAGATTCTTATGGAAAAAAAGTGTTTGATTATAATCATACAATTTTATTATAGTTACTTATAAGCTAAATAATGCCAAATTTAATAGCAAATACGATACCAGATATTTTCAAAGTCTACTAAAATAAAAACTACACGGTCAAAGTATTTCTCAAGATCATCAAATATACTTTAAGAAAACAAAGGCAAACTTTGAAAACCGCCCTAAATAGGGAAATGGTCAAATAAGTGTTTAAAGTAAGTGGGATGGAGTAACATATTTATAAACAGTAACAACATTTTGTGTAGATACAATCATTTTGCTCATTTGTTACCTGAATGCTATTACAATGTATTTATTTCTTAACAATGATCAATAGGAAAACATTTTTCATAATGATGATATTGTAGATTATTTGGAGTTCCCTTCTTTCTGAAAAAGAGCTGTTCTAATAGCCAAGTTTAAGTAACAAAAAATGCCAATAACTCATTAACCATACGTTAAATTTTGTATACATATTTCTTATAAGGCATATAACTGTCCTATGTTGTCAATTTAACAGTTCCTTATAGTACCCATTAGGGGTGTCCTTTAACAAAAAGGTTACAGCCAAAAAGAGGCATACCTGACAAAAATAAATTATAAAGTTTTCTGCAATTCAAAAATGCTTTTCAATTTTAAAATTGAAGTATTGCATATTAGAAGTAATAAGCTTTGAAAAATAAAGAAAAGAAAAGAAGTAAAAAGGGGCATGGCATAGCGTAAAAAAGAATTGTAGGTATTATCTGAAATGGTATTATATTTTTACAATGGACATGTATATCAAGTTTTAAAAGAATAACTTTGATAGTTTTTGAGAGAATCAATCGACCCACTAACAGCAAGTCGGGTCACGATAATAGCTCCCGGTAAGTCCGGTCATGACAAAAGCTCAACTTTTCCTTCGAAAATTGGACCTTATAACCAACAACATTAACCAGCTTTTATGATAATAATTGAGCCGTAATAAAAGGTATACAGGAGGTAAAACTTTTTTGTTATATGATCAAGTATGGTCTGTTGCAAAAAACTTCAATTTCAGACTCATTGACTTTTCTAAATTGACAATTTTCCGCGTCTGTGATGAGCATTTAAAGCATCAGTAAACGAAATACTGTATAACCGAAAGATATTATAAGATTGTTTGTTGGTTAAAGATGGCCAATATATTTCAAACATTTACATTTATTTTAACAGCACGGGAAGACAAAACTTGCCTTTTATCGGCAAGGTAGTCTGAGCTTTAACCTGAACGAAAAAATCAGTCTTAAAGTTCAACAGTTTATCTTAGCTTCCAAACGTTTTACCAACTAATATCAACTTTTTTCTGCACATCATGTCCCGATAATATTATGTGCAGACTTATATATCTTAATTTAAAGCTTTGTTTAAATATTTTTTGTCTCTTTTTCTTCGAAACGTTCTGCATAAAACCATCTAAAATGATTAATTTAAATTGAATACTAGTTAAAACAATATTTTATTTTGTGGAGTAATCTCTCAATATTATGAAATAATCTTGAAACATATTTTTTCTTAATCAAAAACTCTAAACAATAATGTTCTAATTCATTTTAATTATATATCCGATTTGCTTTTTTCTGTTTTCTGTATTATTCTAACCATATATGTGCATATTTTTTATTGCAAGTACCTTATGTGTGGAAAGGAATTTTCAATCCACGATATCTATCAGTGTGATTGTATGTGCTTACAGTAAGCATATACAAGCATATACAAATATTCAAATTTATGTTGTATAAATTGAAATAAATATTGTTTAAACTAACCAAAGTAGACCAAACAAAATCGAGATATCAAAGTTATACAGTCATTTAATTGGTAATTCAATATCTTAGTATATAAGCTCATATTCTGCTATATTTTTCAGGGGCGTATTTTTGTTTATCCATGGTGATGATCACTATGTCTACTGTTTTGTCGACAGTAATTGCCAACATGTTCTTCCGAGGAGTGCGTATCAACAGGGCGCCACGTTGGCTTAGAGCGGTAACAGTTATTACTTTTAAAATATTAAATTGTCTGCACAAAATAGATCTAGATGACCTGCAATTATTGTCAGTTATATCTTGATTTTATTTACTCGTTTTCTGATCCCAAAACATGAGAAAAAACAATTACTATATTGATACATTATACTTAAAGATGCATTGTCTTGCAACCTTGACATTTTAGAAATTTTATAACATCTGATAAATTATTTGTCTTGTACACTGGTGTATGAGGACCATTAATTCAAACAGATAGTGTAACGAATGCGTTTCACTTATGAAAACATTGTTCCACATCGATAAGAATCTCTTATATGAAATACAAAACTAAAGCTCAATTTGATAAACTAAAATCTCTTTTATATTTTCCTATTTCATTTTTGACAGATTAATTTGACAAACTAGTAATTTATTGCACGACGGCGTGATTGTTATACAATGCAGGATTTATTCGGATTATCAAACAAGCAATATATTATTTCTTCAATATGCTTAGTTTGGAGAGGCAATTCCTTCTTTATGTAATTGCTTCTTTGTAAGTGATAGGCCTATCACATAAATGGAAGTTTTTTGTCTCTGATAGAGCCTGATAAGTAAATTAATCAAGGATATGGTCAGGATATCGGCGCATCCTATTACAAATATTGGTAGCTGACGCTACGGGCAAATCACACATTGCTGACATATTACAAATAAAGTAGCGCGGCAAGCTCTCCTAGTATGATTACTTTAACGGATATTCTTTTCTAAATTTGGCTGTATTATGTACGTTATTTGTTTCATTTCTTATCAGTGTCACACAAAGTACCATTTTCTTGATTAAATAGTACCTTGATATGATAATGCGTCTATGTATTTTGATAATGCGTCTGTGTATTTAAAAGATTGAGCATCGTTTAAAAAAGAAATCATGAGTACTCATATTTTGTAATAAAAGTACAACATCCCAATATACCACACTGTTTATAATCTGATAAACTGCAAAAAATACAAATACTTTGAAACTTAACATAGAAATCAGAACCAAAACTGAGAAAATCATATCTTAACCGTGCGGTTTAGGTTATAACTACGAAATCGATTTTGAAAATATATAATAATACTTACTTGTTAACGTTATTGTTATTTATTCGCGTGCTTTAAAATGTGTGAAATAATGTGATCTAATTCATTGGCGCATTTATCAAACGTTCTGTTTAAATGTCCACCAGTACATCAAAAACAAATATCTTCGATAGTTAAAAACCTTATTTCAATACCTTTTTTAAGGTAGAACGCGACACTTTGAGAACTTTCCAGTAGAGTCTTGAAAATTTGTGTCTAAAAAGTTGACCGTATTTCAGATTACATTTCGTTTTTCAGCCAAATATTGTACACATGACTTCTAACTTGAAAACCAAAGCCCGTTTTGAAACATGGCGTCGTTGCGTATCATTGGGAACTGCTATAAGTATTACAACTCTATCGGCCCAATTTTCAAGACGCTACTCGAAAATTCGCAAAATGTTGTTTTCTACCTGAAATAAGTATTGAAATAATTAAATACCTTAAATAAGACTATAAATTCACAAAAATAAACGTTATTATCCGAACACACATTAAAGCCATTTGTTTATCTTTTTCACGAAAAGGCAAAGATCATTTACACAACAACGTCGTATGAAAAAAATAAGATACTGAGCTGATAAACACGACAAAGAATGATTGTGTATATAAGAAATTGATATTAAATCAACGTGTCCGGGGTCATTGCTCTCAACTCTTTTTTTTTCTTTTAGACATTTCGTATCGTTCAGATAGCTTCAAAACTCATTATACTTTAACATATTTGGATTATTCAACAGTTGATGATAGATGGTATAGCGACAGTACTGTGTCTCAGGAGCCAACTGCTAGAACCAGACTACCAAACAGATATGTGCAACTACAAAAGAAGTCAGTATGCCGATGCCGAAGCACGGTATGCCAAAGTTCGTCTCCTTGACAACGGCCGTCAAGAGAGTAGAGGTGTAAACACAAACTACAATGAAGTAGAGCATAACAATGTCCATAACAATCAGTTAGGAGATTTGTGTTTAAATACGTCGTTTGCAGACGATATTCGCACCATAAGAGAGATCTTGGAACAGTTCAAGGAGAAGAAAGCGAAAGCTGAATTAAAGGAGAAATGCCTGCGGGAGTGGAAGGTGATCTGTTGTGTCACTGACAGGCTGTTCTTTATATCATACCTGTTGGTCAATATCGTCGGTATCGTCGTTATCTTCTTTGGACAGCCTGATCCATCTTGAGTAATTATCCACACAATGCACACTTTATATAAGTACTCTTTTTTTGTTTTAAATGTACTTTAATTTAGAACGAAATATACACCTTTAACTATTGAGAAACTCTTGCACAATGTTCATTATACATGAAAATATCACAATGTTTCTGACCACAACTGGATTCGTTAATTATCAAAATTAGGCATTGAAATATATGGAATTTGTAATAAACAACAACAACAGAGAAACAGTGGACAAATATTTCTTACTTAAGATATCAGTATTAATAGTATTGGTTATTTAAAAAAATGTGCAGGATGACGATATACTACTGGTTTCTGATCTTCTGATGGTGAAACGACGGTACTAAAGCTTCCAAACTGTAGCTGCAGATATTGTGTAATTATTGTTGTTAACTAAGGAAAACAATATATACTAATATATCCAGGAAAAAAATAAAACGTTGAAGAAAAAAATACTATACGTTCGAATATAATTGATGGCCGATGAGCTAATCACATAATAATATATATAAGTTGCCGCCTTTTCTGCAGGTAATGTATAATGCTGCCAAAATTATTTTTGTACTTGAATAATTGTTTGCAGAAAGATTTTGAAAGAGTCTTTTTTTGGAAATTGTATAATTTAGCTTTATTTGACAAACTGCTTTATCGCATAGAAATGATATATTTCAAAATTCACCAGTAATGCAAGGGATATATATTAATAAATGAGCGCATGAGTTCACAAATAAATCAAAATAAGTTTTTTTAAGAAATTAAACTGAATATAAATGGAAGTAGAAACAGAATTACACATTTTTCATAGAGCTGTTTGTTCGGAAACGATATATGCAATAGAGCCATTTCATAAACATTGTTCATTTCAAGATTATCTTTACATTTTAATATGGCAATAGATATTGTGCTTGTAATGTTTGGTAAATGGATTTTATTTAGCTTGATACTTCAATGAAAATAGTGAAAACGAATGTAAATCACTTATATTTGAACTCGTTTACAAGGTTAATTTTTTAGTATTCTCACACCTTAATTTTGAATAAATGCTCTAAATCTTGTTATGCTTATAATGTTTTTTAAGCAAATGACCGCCACAATTTAAGTGACGCTAAAGGTATCACCTTTTACTTCACGAGTTCATTTTGACTTCATTCTCGGTTGTAGATATTAGGAAAAGACACATCTGAGTGTTTCTTGTTTGTACATTCTATGTTCAATAAAACCGATTTTAATAACAGTACTTAAGTTTATTTTGGTAATTAAAGCAAGACTTGTGTTATTTTTGGAATTTGTGCGTTATCAATAATACATTGACTTAAAAAATGTGCCATATTTCTAATTTTCGGTCCTTTTGTTTGAATCATTTGTGTAACATTGTAAATGGAACCGGTTCTGCTGTTTTAACATGACATACAGACTATTTTCTATTTTCGTCAATGTACGACGGATAATCTAGAAATACCCTGAGCTTAGAAATATTAATTATTCTACCCCGCCAACGACCTTTATATTCAACTGTCTAAAACACGTCTTTGCCACTCATAAACGTTTGTGCCACTAACTTAATACTTCTGTGGGGTTTCTTTGATCATATTATTGCTTTCCAGAAGAATACTTTTCGAACTGTTGACAAACGGTTATCATGGCGCCATTTTCTGAATGCTTCAATTACGACATTGTCGTATCTACAAATCGTTTTAACATTATTACACAATAATTGAACGCTTAAATGGCGTAATATTGTAGCACCGAGTTTTACATGCGGTTCCGGTTTATTTTTGACTAGAACCATGTTTGTATTCAGGCACTTTAATTGTTTATAAAGTTTTAAATTACGTCGCGTTTTATGAGATGTGTCGCTGGGGCGTTCCCGTGGTGGACTGAAATGATACTCACCAAAATTAAATGAATATAAGTTAACGGTTAAATAGATGAAACACGGGTATATATTTAATAAATACAGCATGAAATTATTGAAAAATCTCATATACATTTGAATTATTTCTTGCATTTGCATGCTGGAATTTAGCTTAAATACATGTAAGTCTAGTTTATCTACAGAAAATATTTTAATAGAACACCTTTTGCTGAACTTCTAATTGAATCATAAAATTGTAGTTTTTGTTTTAATTGTAATATATTTCATCTAACAACATGTGCATGCATTAGAAAATTGTCAGTTTGATCATATACCTGAATTTTGCTTTGTAGTATATTAACAATATGATATGACGATATGACACAGATGCAACCATAATGCTGTCATTTGTTATCAGATATAAACAACTTGAAATATACATCAATCAAATTACATTTATCCATTTCACGTTTTTTTAAGAAACGAAGCTGTAAATATTGTAACAATCTCTGAATTTAATTTAATCTGCTTTTGTAGTCGAAAACAAAGTACTTTTTTATGTTTGACTGCAAATGTACAATGAACCTGTTATACATACATTGCTTAAATTAAATATTTGGTATTTATTGTCCAAAAGTCCTGCTTAAACAATGAAAAATACTTCAATACAAATCAATAAATTCAAAAACATGATGGCAGCTAAGGCACGCGAGTCACAGTTAACAATATTCGAAAATTCACTTTAAATGTTATCCAAAAGATGAAATAATGACCGAAATATATTTGTGTTAGCATAGTAAAATATGTCCCAGTAACCCTCAGTAACCCTATAATTATTATAAGCAATATTAGTATTTGTAATATGATACAAGAATCATAATATTTGGAAGACAATACTTATGCAACTATTTAATGTTTTGTATTGAATGTTATTAATTTTTATGTTGTAAGTTGAATCTGGTATAATGTAAAATGAATATCGGGTATCACACAAATAAAATTTTAGCTGCTTACCAATGTGTTTGTTGTTGATTTAGATGAAACAATCGTTTAGAAAAACCAATTGGATATGTTTATAACACAGCTCTATCATTTGATGTTTGTCATATATTATATTAGAATTTTGTTTAGGTGATCCTTTATCTGTGTAACGCGTGAACTAAAGAAAATATGGAATAGATAATCTTGTTGATAATTGTTTAAAGTATTTTTGATTTCAAAATTTAGCCAGCTAAATATAAGCAATGAATTTGCATTTATTTAATATGAAAAGTTCCATACATAATCTAAAAATGTCCAATAAATCACGAAAGGAGAAAAACGGTACATTTTCAGAATATAAAGAAGTTACTTGAGAGCTGTGTTTTTTTGGTAGGACAAATAAACTACATTTAGTAGTATTCGGAGTGTAAATAGTTCCTCGCAAAAGGTAACAAAATTAGGTGGTTAAATAATAAATGACTCAGGAAGAAAGCAATATCCCCCGAACTCCTTTTAGAGGACTTAATGACACCATAATACAAATGACACTACACTCAAGTAGAACAATATAATGACCGAAAAACAGTGGTTTTCTTTGCACGAGAGGTAAGCATCTTCTGAATAATGCAAAACAGTTACGATTGATTAAATGGTGATTTTATCCGTTTGAAACAGATTCTTTCTGCTATATACAAGTAGCGTGTCACTACACATTATCTAAAATAACACATTCCCGGTAATATTTTCACTCCTACATGAGTATCACTTAATTCAGCGGCGGGGGACATGAGAAATGTGCTCAATGTATCCATAGAACAAATCTTTCAAATACTTTCTCAAATAGTTCCAAAACCAAACATTGCAATGATATCGTGATAATGATAAATTAGATAACGGAAAACTAAAACAGATTTTTATTTACAAAAAAAATAATATAGTCGGTTCTGAACAGCGTGTCATATTGAGAATAAGATTATATATTTTCAACCAAAGGTGCTAGTCGCACCTAGGTGACCTAAAATAACTTTAATCTTGTTATTCATGTAATATTATATCCATATATTAAAAAAAAATTAATAGACTTTTTTCATTTTTTGTTATATTGTAATAGATAAGGTATGCAAGGTACGAGGACAAAAATTAAGGGTGTGTCTGTTCTCAGTGTCAATATTATCATCCGTGTGGTAATATCAGAACAGAACAGATTTTATTATTCAATATGACTTGAACATAACAGTTCCTCGTCATTACACAAATATACAGCATACATTAAATACAGCGAGAGTGAAACACAAACATACAAATTTAATATTTGATATTATCATACTAGTCATATACATTATTCATATTTTCATTTCTAATACTAAATGCTTTATTACAAAATATTGCTGATCTATTTAAAGTATTTGTATTACATGTATTTAACAGATCAATAAATTTAACCATACTGGGATGCCTATAGTAATAACGTGGTATATACAATTTTCTTAAATCTGAATAAGTAGGACAAATTAAAAAAAAAATGATATTCGTCTTCATTGTCGTTTAGGTTGCAAAATGTACATTTTCTTTCCGATCTCACAATGTTTCTATGTCTACCAGTCTCTATATTTAAACGGTGCGAAGACAATCTTAGTTTAGCTATTGTATTTCTCAATTTTGTGCAAAACATTTTATTTAAATAATTTGATAATTCAAAGTTATTTTTTAATTCTTTAAACAAAGAGAGTGAGCTTTTATTATTTACATCTTGTCTCCAGTTACTGATATAAATATCTATAAGTCTCTAAGTATTGGAATAAAAATATCAACATTGACAGATTCAGGAAATAACCAAACATCATTAAATCCTGTTCCTTGTAACAATTGCTTAACTTTAGAAGCCCAGTTAGTTTGATTTGCATCTCTATCAGCAATATATCTAAGTGACAAAATTACATTTTCTAGCAAACAATTATTACTTTTTTCTAAGTGTAATTTCAAAAAATATTTTACAATTCTTATTTTCCGTATTATAAAAAGCGGAAAACGACCAATTTGCACCGTACAAGGCAGCATTACATGTAGTCATTTTTACATTTAAAACCCATTTTAAAAACTTTCTATGAACCCTTCCTATATGTTCAGACATTGTATTATTTTGATTTTAAACATATAATTCAAGTGGCAAATTTAAGCATATCAGAGTACTATGACACTTGTTTAATATTCATGCGATACTTTACTAAATCTTAAACATAGCCTTCAATTAATTTCTGTATATACATATAATAATGATAAAACAACATTAATAATAATACCTACTTGGATTTATGACAATGTTATGTAACCTTTTTACAGCATCATCTTTTTTATTAACAGAACAGAACATACGTTTTATTTAGACTTGTACATAGTACATCGTCATGCATATAGATAAATAAAACAATTATCACGTCACGTGATCATGGTAACACAAAGTACAATATGATACTTAGAATATATAATAGAATTTACATTGTTATGAGTAATAAGTAAATATTTTCTCAATCATAGCAGTAATAGAAATTCTACTGGCAACCTCACAGGATATTGTATACCATATTTTACCCAGTGAGTTTAACCATCCCACTGAAAGTAAAACTCCCTCCCGGTAAAGGCGAAACCAGCAGCAAAACTAAATACTTATTGAGCAGTTTCTTTCTAGATAGAGAACAGTATCATTAAAAGTTATACATGTTAACACACAAATATCATATGATAATGTATCAAATAAGAGAAAATACCTTTATTATTTAAGAACAATGCATGATTACACAAAAAAACATGATGTTATAATATATGAGAATAGTAAAAAAAAATTATTTTCCAAGAGGATGTTAAAAAATCAAATATTTAAGAGAGTATTTCTGATTGCCAAACTTTCTTTAATGTATCTTGCTAAATTCATCAATAAAAGCTTGCTTGAAGTTTGCAATAACTGAATAAATTTGAACATCGATGGTCTAACATAAAAATATTTTTTTATATATGTCTTACGAATATTATTATAACAAGGACAAACCAGAACAAAATGATATTCATCTTCGATATCAAGGGTATTACAGCACTGACAATATCTCTCGTTTCGTGGTAATCTATGTCTACTATATCTACCAGTTTGTATTCAGAGAGAATGGGCTGATAATCTTATTTTGG